GTACAATTAAAATAGTGAAAGTTAATGACTGAATTCAGAAGCAATCAGAAAGCTTGTTCTTTTGGAAGGTAGTTAAAGGTGGGCAGATGGCAGTAGACTTGCCGTACTTCTTTCAGCTTATGTTTTTAACAGAGATGGATGGAAGGCAGAGAAAAAGAAAGGTCATTACTGTGCTTTTATGTATGAAGTGCAGAGGAGTCTTAAGCCTCAGTGCATTAAAAAATGCTTTTTTGTATCACTTATGAATGTGATAGAGATGATGGTAAGGGAACTATGGTAGTCGTGCTAAAACTGATTCTGTTTATAGCGGTCAACTAAATGAATTATGGTGTACAAATTATGGTGTACAAATCCTTCAGTCTTACATTGTGTCTGCACAAGACAACTTTCCTGATGCAAGTAAAACAATTAAAATTTAGTAACTGACCACAGACAAGGAACGGAAGATTTGCCCATGAGCATTGAAAGCTGGAAATTGAACCCTTGCTTGATTCCTACCCAGCCTGATCAGGAGTGTTTCCTGTTCTTCAGTTAACAGACTGATGAGAAGCTCTGTTTTCACACTATTGCACAGTAAGCCTGTGTGTAGATAGCTCACTCCATTTTCAAGTCAAGAGTGTGTTTTCCAGTTAGCTGAAAACCACTGGAAAATTGGTGGGGTTTTGAATAGAAATAGTATGTCTTTCTAGAGTTAAGTGGTTTTATTGAGTACTGCACGATCCAAATAAGATTGTAGAATTGCTGCAAGAGGAAAGTCTATAACTTTCTGTAGTTTAGGCTATTATCTGTTTAGAGTTTATTTCATAATTTGTGAGATTTCAGGTTCTTTTTTTGCTTTGTCCAAGGATTATGAACTCCATGTGTGTAGAGAGGTTTTAAATATTGCGTATTATGGACAAATGAACTGTTCTAATTTTGTAGTTTTACTGAAAAAGAATATATTTTTTTTGAAACTACATTAAAATGTTGTCATTTCAATTGGGCAGTAATAGACTGAATATGAACAGTTTGTCCTCCACATTCAGTGTGCATCCTTTTACTGTTTGTTTTTTTATTTTTTCAAAATAGAAGCTGGTGTTTCCCTTTTCAAACAATTTGCAGTTGTCAGGAGTACTGCTGATCAAAATAGAGCATAACACTGAGCATTCCTTTGAGTCTCCTAGCTTTCTAACCATGGAATACCTTCTCAAGTAAGGGATATTTCCTCTTGTTGTGAAACAAATAAGCTCATTGGAAGGTTAATGATAGTCAAAGTTATTACTAGTTTTTTTGGGTCTCCCCCATTCAACTTAGTCTGTTCAGCCTGGAGAAAAGGAGACTGAGGGGAGACCTCATCACAACTTCCTCATGAGGGGAAGAGGAGGGGCAGGCACTGATCTCTTCTCTGTAGTGACCAGGGACAGGACCTGAGGGAGTGGCCTGAAGTTGTGTCAGAGGAGGTTTAGGCTGGATATTAGGAAAAGGTTCTTCACCCAGAGGGTGTCTGGGCACTGGAACAGGCTTCCCAGGGAAGTGGTCACAGCACCAAGCTTGACAGAGTTCAAGAAGTGTTTGGATGATATTCTCAGGCACCTGGTGTGACTCTTGGGGATGCTTCTGTGCAGGGCTAAGAGTTGGACTCAATGGTCATTGTGGGTTTCTTTCAACTCTGTATATTCTGTGATTCTGTGATCTTTCTCTTCAGAAACTACTGTTAACTGGCCTTCCAGTTTGCTTTGCCAAGAGTTTTGCAGTAAAGAATTAAATGCATCTAGGATAAGAGTGTTCTCTAGACCATCAGGCCCAGTTCAGAATTGAGAATACAGCATGATTTGAAAGAAGAGTGGACTTCGTGTTCTTGAAAATGAACTGTTGATTCTACATAGATGCAGGATTCAAAATAAACCAACTTGCACCATGTATCGGTGGGATGATCTTACATTTCTAGGATGGTTTATTAGTGGCACAGCAACTAAGTTTTTGGTCAATGCCATTTGTTTTCAAGCTTTTTGAGCTTTCTTTCTCATTCTTATGCCTTAAAAATACTGTTGGTTGTAATTGCATAGAGTATGAATGTGTCCTTTGAATTTCTAAACTGTTGCTTTTAGTAATTCTATGAAACTAAATGCTATGCATTGATCTTTTCAGAAATGCATTTGCTGTCTTGGCTGCCTCTTTCAGATTTACTGCTTACTAACTGGGAAAGTTGAAAATTTAAAAAAGTCTGTGAACTTTTCTTGGGAAATCTTGGGGGTTGTATTTAGTCAAAACTGCAGAGTTACCAGAGCTAACTTTGCCTGCTAATGAGCCATCACATTTTGACCTGAAGTGATAAATGCAAGGCCATGGAATTAGAGCATTTTATTGCTCTTCTGAGTTTTGCTTTATTTTCAAAGATGGGAGACACATGGTTTCTTCAGCAGCATTCCAGGCAAGAATTAGTGTTGAAAAGCAGTTAGTTGTTTTGGTTACGTTTTTTTGTTGGAGTTGTTGTCTTTTTGTTGTTGTTGTTGTTGTTTTGTTTGTTTGGGTGTCTTCCCAACCCGTATTGGTCTAGAAGAGTTCTGTAACCACTTTTTATAAAATTTGGACTGAATAAAATAGGCTGGTGGGGAGGAACAGAGAAGTGAATATAGTTTTCAAAATCAAAGTTCTGCCTTCTCTTTTTATCTGTTTCCAAAGGAAATTGAATACTTACTTATTCTTAAAGGGGATAAAGTCTGGCCATTCTCAATAATCAATCACTTTATGTGGGTGTGTAGGGCAGTAAAATTTTAACAGAAGTACAAGCAGGGCAGTGTGATTTCCCTGCTGGGTGTTCGTAGCCAACACAATGCAGCTGCACTTCAATCAGGACGACTCTGAAGCACAGAAGTGACAGAGAACATGGTGGTTAATGCGTTATCTGTATGCTGTTGCCCTACTGTGTACATCAGTGGGGAAGAAATCCCTTGAAAGGGAAAGGGAGCTGGGATAATGTTGATACTGATTGGATTAGACATTGTTCATGTCTGATCTTTAGTTAAGAAGCTGTTGAGTTCCTCTGCTGTTGATTGGACTTGATATTTCAGGTTGTCTTTTCCTTTGTAGTAGCATTAATAATGGCTTCAGCTTGGAAATGTCCAGATGAAAACCCATCTATTCATATTCCTCTAAACACATTTTTGGGACAATTTTTTTTTTTAAATTTCTACCTAGACTTTTTGCTTTTTACAGTTTTGATCTTTGATCAGATATGGGGCTGGTTTTGTGAGGCAATGTGCATAACTTGAGAAGTTCTCTGCCCCAAAGAATTTGTGACTTAGAACCTGCTAACATCAGACTTTCCAAATGTTCAAATGGTTTGATACAGTGCCACTTAAAATAGACGTCGTTATGGGGAACCAATGAGTTGCAGAGAACAAAACGAGTGTTTGGCATTCTAGATGCTTTTTCGTCTGTTTTCAATAACTAACCTGTCAGGGTCTCATGATACTATTCCTGGTGTTTTTAAAGATGGCCGAGAGAAGGACTTGGCATGTTAGGAAATGAAATACGAGGGATCCCGAAACTTCATTTCTTAACAAGTAATTCTCCTCAAGCTGTATAAATTTTCTTGAGTTAAATATTGTAGAATACAAAGATACTATGTTTTCAGTGAAACATCAGTGATAACAGTTGGTTGTCTTTGCTGTCCAAGATCCTCACTAAAACCACCAGCTGATTTAAATTTTCCTTATTACATCAGCATAGTGTTCATCTGAAAAGAAAAATAAAACAATCTCTTTCCTGACTTGGGGGAAAAAGAAAGGCCATGCAGAATAATAATAAAAAGTCTGAATTTTTATACGTTTTTGAATTCATCTGAAGTTGAATTGTAGATGCTAACTGAGGTCCTTGGCCTCCACATAAAAACATAAGCTTTTGTCAAAGATAAACTTCGCTTTTGCCTGTACAGTGGCACACACACTCTCCAGTGAGAATGTAGCCAGAGCCAGAATAGCATTTGTCAGGGCTGCCAGCATCACAGACCTGCAACTCAGACCCTGTATAAACTGTCTTCCTTTAAAAGTGCAGGAGGAATTGAATCTAAAAGACGATATCAAGAGGTAACTCTCTTATATTACATACAATAACATGAGTTTGAAACTAAAGGTATTTATACAACAGGCTTGAAACCATAGAATATATACTATATGCTGCTCTATTCTGTATGTTGTTCCTTGAGTTGAGTGGCAAGTAACTGGACCTCTGCGGAGTGTACATTGGAAGCAGTGAAATGGTTATGTATGAAGCTAAGAGTCAGCAGTTGACTGGTGTAGAACTCCAGCAGCTACTGCTTGAGTTAGAAGAACTGGGGGGAGGTTGGGGAAGTTAGAGAACCTTTGTGCTTTTGCTCTGGCTGCCTCTTGCAGCTAACAGCAGTCTCTACAAACTTCCACAACCCACATCATTGTCTGCCTTCAAACTCTGTCTTGAATTTCTCTTGCATTGTGGTGCAGTAGAGAAGACAGTAGTTCTGAAACTCGGTCACAATTTTTGCCATCTGGGAGGGCACTTGATAGGAGCATTTCAGGGTGTTGTGTCTAGTGCTGTTAGCTTTCAACCTGTTGCTGAAAGGCATCAGAACCTTGCTAAAAGGCATCAGAACCTGCTTTCTGCGTGTTGTTACTAATTCAACTGGTTGAACCAAGCTTTTAGACCAGGAAGACTTAATTTGTTCTAAATGTGTGTTTGTGGATTGACAGAAGGTATTGTTGAGAAGTCTCAGTTCGAACTCCCAACTGTGTTGAAGATGCTATTCATGTCCTATAGATAAAGAATTGGGCCTGCTCTTCCATCTCACTTTTACACTTTTGTCTGACACATGGAAGGAAGAGGCTTTTAGATAGTGTGCATTTTTCACTTATGTGAAACTTCTTCTGTAATCCATGCTCCCATGATCTGGGAAAACAAATCCTCCTCTGCCACATACACTCAACGCTTTAACATCTGTAGATGACAATAATACTGACATGTTTTTCTGTTTTTTTCTTCTGTAGCATCTCCCCTTCTGCTTTTTGCCAACCGGCGGGATGTTCGACTTGTGGATGCTGGAGGCACGAAGCTGGAGTCCACTGTGGTGGTCAGTGGTTTAGAGGATGCTGCTGCAGTTGACTTCCAGTATTCACAGGGCATCGTTTTCTGGACAGATGTGAGTGAAGAAGCCATCAAGCAAACTTACATTAACCAAACCGGGAATGTGGTACAGAATGTCATCATTTCTGGTCTGGTTTCCCCGGATGGCCTGGCGTGTGATTGGATTGGGAAAAAACTTTACTGGACGGATTCAGAAACCAATAGGATAGAAGTAGCTAATCTCAATGGAACATCTAGGAAAGTCCTCTTCTGGCAAGACCTTGATCAGCCCAGGGCAATAGCTTTGGATCCTGCTCATGGGTAAATATTAATTTGGCTTAAATGCTTAAATGGATACAGTAGTGATTTATGTTGACTTTTTAGTTCTGAAAAGAAAGAAAAACACAGCCTTTTGTTTCATTTTACATTTTCCCAAGGTATTTTTCTCAAGTTCTGTAACTGAACTCTGTATGTTTGAGCTTAAATATTTTGTGGCAAGTAATGGTAGCCCAGACACTGAGCCAAGAAGAAAAATAGAACTGTTCTTAGGTGCCAAGCCAGATATTCAACCGGTATAATTCCTAACTTATTCCATTGCACTTCTGAAAGGTAATTAAATTTCCAAGCATTTTTTGTGTTATTATTATTTTCTCAGTTATCTTGTCTGGTAAGTTAACTTTGATTTAATATGTGATGTCTATTTAATGAAGACAGTAAGGTGTGTGAATCTGCATGAGTCGAAACAGGAACTATGCTCTGGTAAACGAAATCAGAATATTTTTAAGTGATGATATTGAATAATCATGTTTGAGCCAGCAAGTAAAAGAGTCCAGGTGAAACTGGGTATTCCCAATGCTGTAAGGTGACCAGGTTAGTAAGTAATAAGAGAGCAGGCTGGATGTGCAATTTCTAGTGCTCTTGAAAATACTTGTGTATCTGTATGGTTCCTCCCTCCCTCTTCAATACTCCCCACCATTTCACATGTGCTGTTTGCTATCCCTGTGCACAAATAGTACTTTGGGCTTGGCATTTGTTTCAGTGATCACTGAAGATCTGCTGTGCTAGATGGACCCTTGTGATAACTGCGAAAGAGAAGCGAGGTGCACTTCTCTTGTGTGCACAGATCTACACAAGTGAGGTGTTTTGCCACTAATTTGCTGCCATTTTCACAACACTTTTCTCAGAGATCACTTTGTCTTCCTGTATAGTATATGTAGGTAGGTTTCTCGCCTGTAAGAAAATCAAGCATCAACTGACATTTTCACTGAGTCTGACCTCTTTGCGAAGTGATGCTGAGTTAATGCAAGGGCTTAGGATAAGCCACAAATATAAAGTACTTTGTGGTTTATCCTGCTCTGGGAGACAGACAGTTTCTTGAGAAACTACCTGCTTCAGGTGCGCAAGAAGTATAAATTGAAACTAAGCAACAGAGAGCAACTTGAAATTGCCATGTCATCAACTGCCATGCTACAGACTGGGACTTTGTCCAGTTGTTTTTGTAGTGTTTCCAGCATAAGACTTCCCAGATGAATGTGTGGAGTTATGGGTACATTTATGATTGATACGTAAAGGGCATACAAGTGCGAAATGAAATTGTGTGTACCCAAAGAAACAAAATCCTTAGTTTTGTTGACATGTCAAATGCTGGAAACTACCTATATCCTTCGGATAACTGTTGGATAGGTACAACCATCATCAGTGAAAGGGAAAGTGGAGTGACTTTGTTGGACCAGAGGACTTTTCCAGAGGGGTTCTTGTCCTCTTAATCCTGTCTTCACTGCAGATGGCTGTAAGTGAAATGAATTCTTCCCATAGCAAATTGCTATGGGAATTTTAAATAAATTAACAGGAATCCTGTGTTATCCTGGCAGCAAGTAGTCTATGCAGAATTAATTAATGGTTAAAACTCACTTTAGATCTAGAGTTCAGTCGTATATTTAAAGAGACAATATAGTGTTGAGTATTTTATGATGAGATAGATCAGAGAGAGTACGTGAAATGCCAATGCTGGGTTGACATCTCATAAGTGGATGTAGTGGATGCACAGGACCATCCCCAAGAGTCACACCATGTGCCTGAGAGTATTGTCTAAATACTTCTTGAACTGCTGTCAGGCTTGGTGCTGTGACCACTTCTCTGAGAGCATTTCTAAAATGTCTCTTCTTTAGGACACACTGTGAGACACTTGCAGGTCATCTGTGTGTCTCTACTTTTCCCGGAGGTAGTGAAAATCATTAATTGTTCAGGATTTACTGATGCTCTTATACATTATCATAATGAACAGGTGGCTGCTTAATATGTAACATGGCTTTTTTTTCCCATACACCTTAAAACTTTCTTGGTGGATCCACTATATATTCTAGGAATGAAAGGAAGCAGAACATGCAATAATCCAATTATTCTTCCCTGAAATGAAGGATAAACTAAGGAGGAAAGTACAAAACATTTTTCTGCCAATTTGCTGTCATTTTGTTTTGAACATTCAGATCCCAGTCCTGGTGTGTAGGTTATGTGAAGCTGAGTTTTTATAATGAAGGACATGGGGCTGAAATTGTTGGTATTGTTTTGGAGAACATTAGCATTTATATACATTCTTGCTAGGTAGACTGCTGATGGGGGATTTGATAGTGTTGGTGGTTTATTAAGTTTCAGTTTGCAGCCTTTGCATAAGTATTTCTGTGTTTTCAGAACAGCAACTAATAAAAAACCTGAATTTATTGTATGTAAAGATTTTGCTCAGCTCAAATGAAGAAGTAGCTCAAATTCTATGCAATGTAGTGCAAAGAACGTAAATATCATGAACAATGTCTGAAGAAGCTGGAATGCATTTCAAAAGCAAGTTTTTATCATGTGTCAAGGCAAGCAAACTTCGGTTTCCTGAAAAGAAATTTTCAAAAGATTGCATGAATGAGTAACCAAAACAAATGACTTAATTCTCAGTCCTGTAGGGAAGGTCTTAGATCTGAACAACCTAGAATGTGTGTTGTCAAGGATCATTAAATCTATAATATATGAATCTCAAGGCTTGCTATGTTTTAAATGTTCTGATTCTGGGAAGCTGTAGCATATCCACAATCCTCATATCTGATTTTCACAAAGTGCTTAATGAAGTAGTTAGTTCACATTATTAAAGCCTACAATGTATTAGAAATATTTACCTTGGTTAATGTAAATCTTAAATTTGTTACTAGTTCTATGATGGCTGCTGTGTTACCTTCTGGACCAAGCTAACTGTTCGAGTTTAGGCTGTATTTTCTATAACTTGGCCTATTCAACAGACAATAATGCTTGAAAAATTTCTGCCCCTTTTGTTTGCTGAAGCACCAAGAGCTGAATCAGACATCTATGAAATGATTATTTTAAAGAAAGATAAAAATTAATTGCCTCAAGAAAAGGCATCCTGTCTTGTGTGTTTTTTGGTGGGGGTGTAACTGCAGTTATCACTTGGTATAGTCACTGGGGTTGTTGGATTTGCCATACCTAACTCTAGTGGGGTCTGTAAAAGTGATGTTCGTGGAGGGGGAAAGCAAGGAACTTTGAATTGGTTTGACTTACTGGAGGAAAGCTGCAAACCTCTTTCTACATTTTTTCCCTCTTTTTAGTTCTTAAAAGTCTTTCATGATGTGGTGTGGGTCTGTTGGGCAGAGGCATTGCCAGTGCCAGTGGACTAGCAGTGGACAAGTGGGATATTAAAAAATGGATATAGAAGGGACAGCTATCACAAATAGAAAACTTTCAGTTCAGAATCTAAAATTAAATGCCTCAGATGTGCCTGGTTGTTAATCCAGTGTTTCCTCAGTGTCACAGCAAAACCATGAACCAGACCTGTTAGCTGTTGCTACATAACTCACAACTGTGTTTATAGCAGCACTTCAATAAAACTGCAGTGGTGTTTACTGATGATTCACTGGGACCTTGGTCCCACACAACAGTAGATGGAAGGTTAAGCATATTGGCTTGCTGTGTTGAACTTATTGGAATCTCTGTGTACTGAAGCCTGATCTTCGTGAGCTGCAGTAGACTAAGGCTTTGAATATTTTGATTCAATTGAGTGTGAACGATGAAATATTTTAAACAGCATATCATCTGATCTTCTTTGGAATAGTTGAGAGGAGGGGGAATACTACATAAAAACTTGTGAATGTTGCAGATAATAGAGAAAAAGCATGAAACATGGCATGAGTAAAGACTATGCTTTTTAGAACTTCTTCCTTTAACTCATGGTTACTTGGTTAAAATGCATAAGATACCCTGGTTTTGAGTGAAACATGATTATTGCTGCCTTGAAAGCTAGAGATTAGTTTATATCCTGTGTGCCTCTAGTAGTTAATTGCAAGTAGAAAATTATTTTGAAGCTTTTGGTTTGTTACTTAAAACTCTGTAATGATGTTGAATGTATGAACAGAAGTTGTTTTCTTAAAATGGAAGAAAAGTACTCAACTGTGATATTGGTTAGGAGTCATATCCAGTATCTTGGTGTGGCTGAAATTTCTGGGAGTTGGAAAGCTTTTGATATGTTGTGTATCCAAATAGCTGCAAATGGTCTCGTGCATAAAAAACTTGAAGTTCTTGTGGGAAGTGTTATTTACTTTAATTTTCAGATAGGTGTCCTTGATGGTGACAGCCTATAATATAAGCACTAATATAAGCAATAATATAAGCTAAAGTAAGAATTTTTCCACGTAACCTGCTGAAGGTGTACTTACATGTGGGTTTGTTTGTTATTGTGTTTAAAAATACAGGCATGCAAATGAATGTGCTTAGATTGCATGCCTTGACAAATTCCTGTCTGTAGCTGGAGTGTACTTTTCCCTGAACATTGAGTTAGACTGCATCAACACACTAAAGCATAAAATGCATTGGCTTGAGCTAAATGTTTAAAGTCAGAGATCTGTGGATAAGAGAGCCAACATCTGACTTGAACAGTTGGATTACTGTTGTCCAGTATGTTTGCTGGACCCCATCTTCTGTTAAGTCAGTACAAGGTGTAGATGTAATTTCTTGGACTGTCCTGAAATGTTTTAATTCAATGTTCCTTATAGAGAGAGGAAGAAATCTAGGTTTAACTTCAGGTAGACTTGGTTAAGTCTAGCTCACAAGCAGTTCATTCTGCACTTTTTGATATGAGGATACTCTGAATTTTGAGTGTCTGCAGTGTGTCTTAAAATAGTTTGAATGTAGTGAGATTTGAACTATTTTTCCCTTTTCTAAACTAAATCACATCTTGTGAAAGAAGAAGGGCACCCAGGGTCAGTGAACTGAATATGAGCCAGCAATATGCCCTTGCTGTAAAGAAAGCCAACAGCATCCTGGGCTTCATT